AGTCCCGGCTGATGGTGCGGGACGGCCGGGCCTCCGTGCACTCCATGATCACCCGCAAGGTCACCATTGCCGGCTTCGACCTCAGCAGCTACCGTGACTGCCTCGCCAAGTGGAACAAGGCCATTGAGGTGATGTACGCCCAGTGCATGGAGGTGGGCGAGGACAAATGCCTGCCCGTGTACTACGAGCAGCTGGTACTGCACCCCCGGCGCTCCCTCAAGCTCATCCTCGACTTCCTCGGCATCTCCTGGAGCGACGCCGTCCTGCACCATGAGGACCTCATCGGCAAGCCCGGCGGCGTCTCCCTGTCCAAGTGAGTGGATCCCCCACCTTCCGCCCAGACCCCTGATCCCGGAGTCAGAGACGCTCAGTGGGAAGGCTGGCTCTGCCCCTCCAAGCTGTGTGGCCTTGGGCAAGTCACTGTGCCTCTCTGAGCCTCCTCTGTTGTACTGGAGAAGATCTGGGAAGAGAGTGGTTAAGAGCACAGCCTTGAACCAGATCTCCCACCTCATAGCTCTGTGGCATTGAATAAGTCGCTGTACCTCTCTGAATTTCGGCTTTATTATCCAAAAAGTGGGGCAGTCACTCCTCTCCAAACTGTGAGTATGCTTTGTAGTGAGCTGTAGCAGGTAAAGCTTGAGGGTATAGTTTCTGGAACCAGGCTGTCTGGGTTTGAATCCCAGGTCTGCCACTTTTTAGCTGTGTGACCTTGAGCAAGTAATTCTCCCTCTCTCTGCTTTCATTTCCTCATCTGTAGCATAGGGATAGAATCTACCTATGTTCACGTGTGAACATCAAATGGGTTAATAACACGTTAGGTGGTTTATTCCCGTTATCATCGTTTCAGTGTTGATCTTGCTTTTATTGGAATACTCATCAGGCTCACCTTCACTCTCATTTATTGAGTGTCTGCAGTGTGGCCAGCACTGAGTGAAGCCACAAGCAATCATTATTCCTTTAATCCCCACAGCCACCTAGAACATAGGAACTGCTCTTGTCCCCATTTTACAGATGGAGAAACTGAGTCTCAGGAAAGTTACTGGCCTAAGACCACACAGCTAGCAAACGGTGGTGTCAGGATTTGAACGCAGGTCTGTTGGACTCCAGTGCCTGTGTTCTCAAGCCCTCCGTGGCTGGGACCCATCCTCCCTCCCTTTCTGTCCCTTGCTGTCTGCCTTCCTCCTTTGAGGAGGCTGTCCCTTTCCTGAGACAGTGCAGCACCAGAATGTGCCATCCCCATGTCTCCATCCTGGTCACTTGCAAGCATTTTTAACAGCCCAGTGGAAGGGCGGTCCTTCCTTGGACAACGCCTCCCATTTCTTTCATGGCTGGACCCTCCCAGGCTCTGCCCCCAAGAGCGCCTGATCCCTGAGCAGAGCGGGAAGCTCTCAGCAGCTCCTGGCAGTGAAGTGCCCATGGGCTGGGTACCCCCACCAGTTGGTGCTGGAGCTGGAATTTTTGTAAATCATCATGACAAGACATCAGAAGATCAAAGGAATACATCCTGATTGCAGGAAATTGGGAAAATACATAAAACAGGAAAGAAAAACCACCCATAATCCCAACACCCAGATTTTGATTTGTGGCTTGCTGGTCCTTGATCAGGGTATATTGATAAAACTGGAGTCCTGCTGGTCATCTTCCTGTGTAACCTTTCTTCGCCTTGTATTTGGGACACTTGCCCATGGCCCCCAGCACTCTGCAGTGACATCATTTTGAATGGCTGCATAATATTCCACTACACGATCACCATATTCTATTTAACATCTATTTTTGGACACTTTGATTATTGACTCGTATCAAGCCTGGCTCCCATCCAAGTTCTGGGATGTACCTATGTGATTTCTGTCCTGTGAAGTCCTGGAGACGCAAGGGTTGTGGCAAAGGCCAGGCACACGTTTGATCGTGTCTGGTATGTTCACTGTAAACATCTTTGCAGCAAGCGTTTTGTTATAAAAGATGAAATAACTGGTTGATTGACGGTTCTGGTCTCATTACTCTAGGACATGATAGCATATCAGTTTCTTCAAACACTTCAATGAGCACAGTTATCCCTCCCACCTGTCAAAACCAAAAGGGTACTGAGCTGTGGTTCATAGGAAAGGGACAGCTGCCTTTGAGAGCATTAATGATGAATGTTTAGCTAATTTAGATGCACTTACTTTCTCTCTCCTGCCATCTTTACCAGATTTATCACACAGTATTAGACATTGGAGGCCATGTTCATAGCAGCACTACTCACAATAGCCAAGACATGGAAGTAGCCTGTGTCCATCGACAGATGAATGGATAAAGAAGATGTGGTGTACATACAATAGAATAGTGCTCAGCCGTAAAAAAGAATGAAATAATGCCATTTGCAGCCACATGGATGGACCTAGAGATTATCATACTAAGTGAAGTGAGTCAGACAGAGAAAGGTAAATACCGTCTGATATCACTTATGTGTGGAATCTAAAATATGACACAAGTGAACTTAATTCATGAAAAAGAAACAAACTCACAGATGTAGAAAACAAACTTAGGATTACCAAAGGGGAAAGGGTGTAGGGGAGGGATGGATTGGGAGTTTGGGATTAATAGATACACACTACTGTATATAAAATAGGTAAACAACAGGGACCTACAGCATAGCACAGGTAACTATATTCAATATCCTGAAATAACCATAATGGAAAAGAATAGGAAGACACACACACACACACACACACACACACACACACACACACACACACACACACACACACACACACACACACACACACACACACACACACACACACACACACACACACACACACACACACACACACACGTATGTATAACTGAATCACTTTGCTGTATACCAGAAACTAACACAACATTGCAAATATTTCAATTAAAAAAGAAAAAGAGGCAAAAGAAGAATCAAGCTCCTCCTGTCCCCTCAAAAAGGAATGGTTACTTGATTCCCGACGTGTCTTGAAAACGGTGAAAATTCTAACAGAATCTGGCTTAGATTAGTTCACCGAAGGATTTGCAGAAACTGATATGTTGTCATTTTCTCGTGTAATGTAGCTGTCAACCAGTGATTTTATCCTTTATGGCAGAATGGCCTGATGGCCAATTGTGGGGTGAGACTGCTTGCAGCGAAGTTGTTTATGGTGAAAATACCTAGAACCGTATATGCGAGTTTTTGACACACTGGCTAGAGTTGAGATTTACATCCGGGTCTTCAGACTCCAGATCCATGCCCTCCCCACCAGTCCACACCCTCTCCCCTCCCCAGTTCCCCTCACCCCCCTTCCCATCTTCCTTTTGCTCCATCTCTTTGCTTCTGTTCTTTGTTCCCAAGTTATCTCTTAATTGGGATGGAAGCATCTAGAAATAGGTCCTTGATCCTAGGAGTTCCCCACCCTCTATCCTATAAAGCCTCTGAACTATAATTGGTAAGATCATCATGATTCACACAGCTTGGTAACCCTGTTGTATGGGAGAGCAAGGAAGCACATATAAGATGATGACTTTCATCCTAACAGCAAAATGAAAACAACCTGAATATCCATCTTTAGGGGAATGGAAAAAGAATGAGGTATTGAGAGAGCGCGGAAAAAGAAAAACCCCGCCTACAAGCCAGTACTATGTATAGTATATAATTTCTGTTTTTAAATCTGCAAGCAAAACCATAGATTTTCAGTGTGTATATGTGTGGGAGAGAGAGAAAGAGAGAGAGAGCTAACACGGAGACCTTAAAATGTACCAGATACTCTTTTATTATTAACTCATTTACTCCCCAGAACAGCCCTGTGAGGTAAGTACTATTATGATTCCCATTTTACAGGTGAGGACACTGAGGCTCAGAGAGGTTCAGTCAGTCTCCCAAGGCCACACAGCCAGTGTTCTTAGAGCTGGCATCTGCACCCAGGCAGTCTGGCCCCTGAGCCTGCGCTTAGCCACTCTGTTTTTAAAAGTACAGAAAACAGATTGATAGGGTACGCTTCAGAATGCTATGGTCAGGTCCCTGTAGGGAGCTGAAGGACTCGGAGTGGTGACCCCAGGGGCTATTCGCCTTACCATTTGTGTCTTAGAATTACTTCTCAAGAACAAAATACTCATCTTAGTCATATAAATAAAAAGTAATTTTTAAAAAGTCAGAGAGGTCAAGGAAGCAGAATTTCAACACCACTGAAGTGGTGTGCACTGTCTAGCCCTTTCTCCCAGCTTCCCACCCCATGCTTTTATCCCCATTGTACAGAGCAGGTATGATGAGGCCATATGACTTGCCCACATTCTTATACTTGATAAGAGCTGAGTGGGCCCTGGGGACCAGTCCCCCCAACCTTTCCTGCTGCCCCAGAGTCCCTGAGCAGGGAGCCCACCTGAGCACCACCTGGGTCTGCCCGTGCCCCGTCCAGCCCATCCTCTCTCCCCAGGATCGAGCGATCCACAGACCAGGTCATCAAGCCCGTGAACCTGGAAGCTCTCTCCAAGTGGACTGGCCACATCCCTGGGGATGTGTTGAGGGACATGGCCCAGATCGCCCCCATGCTGGCTCGGCTTGGCTATGACCCCTATGCAAACCCGCCCAACTACGGCAACCCCGATCCCATCGTCATCAACAACACACACCGGGTGAGTGCACATGCACACAGGGAGATGGCGTGCTCAGGCTGCGGTGGGGTGGAGGCTCCAGCTACCCCAGAAAGCACTTAGTTTCTTGATTCCTATGCAGCTGGTTTGTTTCTGTCTCAGGGACACGGTGATTCGTACGGCTGCTTGTATTTCCATTTTTGCTTGGGCCACAAGGAAGCTCAAAACCAACTGGTAGCCTGCCTCACACTGTATAGCATCTCATGGCAGGCCCATTTGTGCACTAATTCCATCCTATTTCTCTACTTTGATTTACCCTTTTCCCCCTGCTTCCCTGGCTGTTTGTTCGTCTGTTTGTAAAGCACTTCAAGTCTCTGTTGAGACTGGGTGTGAATAAATCAACGATTGGTCCCTTTATTGCCCCCGTAAGGTTTAATTTTTAATTTTATTTATTTATTTTTGGCCCTGCCTCGAGGCATGTGGGATCTTAATTCCCCAACCAGGTTTTTTAAAAGTACAGAAAACAGATTGATAGGGTACGCTTCAGAATGCTATGGTCAGGTCCCCGTAGGGAGCTGAAGGACTCGGAGTGGTGACCCCAGGGGCTATTCGCCTTACCATTTGTGTCTTAGAATTACTTCTCAAGAACAAAATACTCATCTTAGTCATATAAATAAAAAGTAATTTTTATGAAACCATGCCCCCTGCAGTGGAAGCACAGTCTTAACCACTGGACTGCCAGGGAAGTCCCTGCCCCCATAGGGTTTAATATTTACTTCTCAGACAAATGTAAGTTTAGGGTGGTTTAAATTACTTTTTAGGTTCTCCTTAGTGTAGGTGGTCAAGGGGAAATGACTTTGAGAAGATGTTTTTGGAGCATAAAAGTAGGCTAATCCTGGGTGGAACAGTTACCAAGTCGATATTATTTACATGTCACTGTCACAGCTTCTCCTTTACTCTGGTTGCTGTGTTCTGACTTCCTCAGAGACACTAAGTTAATAAAAATATCTGAAAATGGGACCCAGGCCTGAGGAAGAGCCCTCCTACCCCTTATGTCATTGAGACCCAGAGTTTTAGTTTAAGCTGAGTTTGGCATTTCTTTTTTTCTCTTTTTTTAAAAAAATTAATTCTAAAGTCCTCTGATTCTACTTTCAGAGAACTACTTTGTGTTTGGTCTGTTGAACTAGAGAAGAAAGGACACGCATCTTAAATTTATTTATTTAATTTATTTATTTTTGGCTGCGTTGGGTCTTCATTGCTGTGCGCGGACTTTCTCTAATTGCAGTGAGCAGGGGATACTCTTCTTGTGGTGCACGGGCTTCTCATCGTGGTAGCTTCTCCTGTTGCAGAGCACAGGCTGTAGGCACGCGGGCTTCAGTAGTTGTGGTACATGGGCTTCAGTAGTTGTGGCTCACAGGCTCTAGAGCACAGGGTCAGTAGTTGTTGCGCACAGGCTTAGTTGCTCCACGGCATGTGGGATCTTCCTGGACCAGGGCTCGAACCCGTGTCCCCTGCACTGGCAGGCGGATTCTTTACCACTGCGCCACCAGGGAAGCCCAAGTTTGGCATTTCTGAGCACATGCTGATTTTAGAAAGTAAACAGTTCTTTTTTTTCTTTCTCTTACTGCCTTATAACTGACTTATTATATTATTGTAGTTTCAGATGTATGACAGAACAATTTGATATTTGTGCACATGGCAGAACGATCACTACAATTTGTGTCTAGTTACCCACTGTCTGTCACTGTACAAATTTACAACATATGCAGTACAATATTACCGACTATAATCACCGTGCTGTACATTACATCCCCGTGGCTTGTTTATTTTATATTATCTTGACCCCCTTCACCCATTTCACCTCCCCCCGTCCCAACCCAACAGTTTTGTATTGAATCAGAAAGGGAGAGAGTCATTACTCTTTATTGTCCTTTAATTCTTCAGTGGACTCAAGGTGAAAGACTCCATTTGATGCCAACAAGTCTTTAACACGTGCAAGCTTTCTCTCTCTCTCTCTCACTCACTCTTTCTTTTTCTATTTTTTGGCCACGCCGTGCGCCATGTGGGATCTTAGTTCCCTGATCAGGGCTCGAACCCGTGTCGCCTGCATTGGAAGTGTGGAGTCTTAACCACTGGGCCACCAGGGAATTCCTGCAAGCTTTCTTTTTAACGGAGAGAATTTACTAACACTGAGCGTAGGCAGCTCTGCCCTTGTCCTTGAAATGCAAGCCCATCTATAGGTCTCATTACTTCCTCTTCCCCCGACATTAGTTGATTTTGTAAACATCTACTTGTGGAAATGCTCAGGGATCCAAGGTAGATACCCAGAGTGCGTGGAGAGCATGGGTGTTGGCAACCTGGATGTGGCTTATTTTTATGATTTTATTATTTTTGTTTTAAATATTATTAATTTTAATGTTTACTATTTAATAATAGTTATCATTCTTTAAACTGTACTTAGGTGCTTTATATACTTTCCTGTATATATGCTATATTTCATAATAAAAAATTCATTAACAGGATTAGGGACTTCCCTGGTGGCGCAGTGGTTAAGAATCCACCTGCCAATGCAGGGGACACAGGCTTGAGCCCTGGTCCGGGAAGGTCCCAAATGCTGCGGAGCAACTAAGCCCGTGCGCCGCAACTACTGAAGCCTGCGTGCCTAGAGCACGTGCTCCACGACAAGAGAAGCCACCGCAATGAGAAGCCCGCGCACTGAAACGAAGAGAAGCCCCCTGCTCACTGCAACTAGAGAAAGCCCGCGCGCAGCAATGAAGACCCAACACAGCCAAAAATAAATAAATAAATTTATTATTTTTTTAAATTCATTAACGGGATTAAAAAAGCAGCAGCAACTGGTGATGACCTTGAAATCCAGCCCCCAAATGCTTCTCAGAAGGGGTGGCTGGGACAGGATGAGGGCATCAGAGAAAGCTGGCCTCTCCTTACCTGCTTTTTTAGCCAGGGGCCCAGCTCCTCTGAAGTCCCTCTAAAAGGCAGAGGCCCCTGGCAGGTCCTAGACTATGGGTCAGAAGCTTCCAGAGTAAGGCCTGACCTTGGGTGTTGTATAAAAAAAATTCTGATGAGCAGTGATGGGTAAGAACAGCTGTTTGGAGCTCTGTTGTTTATTTAAAACGGAAGATATCTCTGGGTTTCTTCCAAAGAGGTTTACTCCCTAAAGAAAAACTCTGTTTTCTACTAACTTATTTAATGACACAAGTGTTAAGAGAACCACAATTCCCTGATTCACTTATTCTCATCCCTAACTGTGAATTTTTGTGACAAATACACTTGTACTACTGAGAAGAAATATTTTGACACTTCATCTATCTATGCAAGTAGAGAATTGATAGGGTCACTTTCAAAAGTGATTTTTTGTATTTCAAGTTTCTGGCTTAAATATCCAACGGTGCAGATTTTTACATTTGTTAAGAACTAAATTTGGTTTAAAAAAAGCCAAAAACTTGCTCTAGTTTTGTGACCCTGTGTACTTTTAAAATAAAATCAAGAAAGCAAAAAAAGGAAAAACAAAAACAAAACAAAAGAGCTTTACTCCTTGGGGCTTTCACAAGTTTTAACAAGTACCAGACACCTTATTTAGTCTTTACGGTGGTTTTGCTGTAACTACAAAGATAAGTCCCCTCGTTGAAAGCCACAAGGGTGTGCGTGTGTGTGTGTGTGTGTGTGTGCGCGCGCGCACGCGTGTGCGTGTGCGTGTGCGTCTGTGTGTGTGTGTGTGCTGAAGGCACAGAATGTTCCTGTATTGGATCCTGGGCAGTACCCTCAGTTCTGAAATGATCCCAGTGCTAATGAAACTGTCTGTACCTGTGCTGTTCATTACAGCCACTAGGCTTGTGTGGCCACTGAAATGTGACCAGTGAAATGTGATGAGTCCACGTTGAAAGGTGCCGTGTAAGTGTGAGACACACCCTGGATTTTGAGGTCCTCATACCCCCAAGAAGCATGTAAAACTTCTCCTTAGTCATTTTTTTTTTTTTAAAGAGCCCATGACTTTATTTTTATTTATTTAAATTGCGGTACGCGGGCCTCTCACTGTTGTGGCCTTGCAGTCTCCGGACGCACAGGCTCAGCGGCCATGGCTCACGGGCGCAGCCGCTCCGAGGCATGTGGGATTTTCCCGGACCGGGGCACGAACCCGTGTCTCCTGCATCGGCAGGCAGACGCTCAACCACTGCGCCACTAGGGAAGCCCCTCCTTAGTCATTTTTATATTGATTCCATAGGGAAGGAAAACTTTTCCCTTTTCCCTTCTAGGTTCTTTGGCTGATCTGATGATGAAATTGACATAAGACGGTTTAATAGGAGACAAAACAAATTTAATATCGTACATACAGGGGCTCATAAAAATAGGAGATTCATAAGAAGGGGCCAAAGCAGGCATCTTTCATACCTTTTAGACGAAGAAAGAATACACCTGGGCTTGGGGTAGTAAATGACTGAAGAGGTAACAAGGTTTGTGTACACAGCCCTTTTGGCTCTGATTTCTTCATCTCTGGTGATAAGGATGGCTCTCCACCTCCTGTTGTGGGGAGGGTACCTTTCACCTGGGAGATTTATTCCCTGCTCTCAAGGGCACAAAGGAGGGTCAGAGTGTCCCTCTGGCACCGGCTGTTTCTTAAATAACTTTAATTCAAAATAATGAATATGCCAAAGTGGTAGATTTGGGGGCGACCTGCCCTGAACCCCATCATTTACGTGTTGAAGTATTAATATTTTAGCTATATCAGGTTAAATAAAAAATACCACGAGAGGGAATTCCCTGTAGGTCCAGTGGTTAGGACTCCACGCTTTCACTGCTGAGGGTCCAGGTTCCATCTCTGTTTGGGGAACTAAGATCCCACAAGCTGCGTGGTGTGGCCAAAAAATACAAACAAAACAGAACAAAACAAACAAACAAAAAAAACCCCACTAGAATTAATTTCACCTGTTTCACTTTTTTTTTTTGATGTGGCTACTAGAAAATTTAAAATTACAGACTAGGTTCACATTATATTCTATCGGACAGCGCTGGTCTATCCAGTGCCTTGTATTTCGAGAGACAGTGGAAAGGCCTGGAATTTTCTGGTTCCCACCTCAGGGCCTTTGTCCTCTCTGTGCCCTCTGGCTGGAATGCTTCTCCTTCAGAGCTTTAGCCTGGCAGCATTTCCTTGTCACTCAGGTCTCAGCACAAAGGCCATGCGTTCCAAGGGGCCCTTTCTGGCCACCCATTCAGAAGAAGCCCCCTGGGCAACTCCTAGTCACATACTTTCCTTGTAGTGCTTTCCATGGTTTGATACGTTCTTGTTTAATTGTGTTTGTTGTCACTTGTGGATTGTGTGGCCCTCCCCACTCCAGAATGGAAGCTCCAGGAGGATGGGACTTCTAATTGTCTGGGCAATGTTGTAATGGCCCCCAACCCCCTCCCCACCCCCGAGCTTAGAATAATGCCGGAATAAGAGGAGCTTATTAATACATGTTTGTTGGATGGATGCATGGATGAGCAGGTGGATAAGTGGATGGGTGGGTTGGGTGGATGGATGGATGGGTGTGTAGATGGGTGGGTAGGTGGACGGGAGGGTAGATGGGGGGCGTGGATGGGGGGGTGTGTGGGTGGATGGGGGGGTGTGTGGGTGGATGGAGAGGTAGATGGATGGGAGGGTGGATGGGTGGTACCCAGATGGATGGGTGGGTGTGCAAATGATGGACTAAATTTTATTTTTTGATCACTTCTACAATAGCGATAATTTTTTCTTTCCTAGGTCTTGAAAGGGGACTATAAAACACCAGCCAATCTGAAAGGCTATCTTCAGGTCAGAAACCCCAGGGGGAATTCTGCGTCACCACTAGCTTCCTCTGTGCCCTTGAACACTTCACTTCTCTCATATGGTTGATGGTTTGTCCATCAGAAAATTGGATGGGGGTGGGATTCCAGTCAGAGGCTCTCAAGTGTCTGATCCACCTGGAGCAACATCTCAGTAGCCCTTCAGCCTGAGCCCCTTCCTTGTCCCCTGGCTTGAAAGCAGCTGGAGGAACTTAGTGGGGACTTTCTGTCAAACTTTCTGCCTCTAGCCTTAAATTCAGCTTCATTTAAAGTGGCAGTTGCTGGACTTCCCTGGAGGTCCAGTGGTTAAGATTCCGTGTTTTCACTGCAGGGGTGTGGGTTTGATCCCTGGTCAGGGAATTTCCGCGTGCCACACCGTGTGGCCAAAATAAAAAAGTATGAAGTGGCAGTTCCCAGCCCAGCACAAAAATTTCATCAGTCTGCCAAAAAATGAGGGTCATGTGATGCAGGTATGTGTGCAAATGTAGACATAATACAGTCCTGTGTCCCCACACTCATCCCTACAGGCTGGCCTCCCATGCATCCTGGGCGTGTCCATGGAGGCTGTCCCTGAATCTTGTCAAGAAGAACCGCTCCCAGGACTGACATAGCATCCTCCTTTTGGTGCCAAAATGCTCCTTTTTAAATGAAGGGTGGTGATGCTACAATCAGTAGTTTCAGTTTGTGTGTGTGTTTTATTTAACTTGGTCAGGAAAGGGTGGGGTCACCCTATGCTAATCCCCAATTTAATCATCAAACTCACAGACTCTCATGGGTCGGGCAATGAGATTTTGGTCCTTTGGGGATGAGTCCACACTCCCTTTGTGGGAATCAGAAACCCATCTCTTGCCACTGTGAAAAAATATTGCCAGAATTAATCAGCACTAATCTGTTATTTGTTTTAGCCCAAAGAGGATGTAACAAGAACAACAAACAGAAGTGGGGTAAGGGGAATTAGCTGCAATCTGCAGCTCTTTTCATTTTTACATACAGTCTTTTTTTTGCCCACCTGGATATCCATTTTTATGTTCCTTGCAATTCCATTGTATGAGCTGCTTTGTTTCACTTTCTTACTGTTTTTCCATCTTGGCGGTCTCACTGTGGCCATTTCGGATGGCTACATAGTTTTCTCTGGAATGCATTATGTGCCACCAATTACTTAACTGTTGCCCTATGTAATTTTTGCAATATTTTGCAATATTTCAAATGATGTCATGCACCTATCATCCTGATTTTGCCTCTCTTCTGTGGGGCGAGGGCTGGGGGGGCCTCTATGGAATTGTTCCCTTCGAATACAATTTTTTATATAAATTTATTTATTTTTGGTTGCATTGGGTTTTCATTGCTGCGTGTGGGCTTTCTCTAGTTGCAGCGAGCAGGGGCTACTCTTCGTTGTGGTGCGCGGGCTTCTCATTGCGGTGGCTTCTCTTGTTGCGGAGCACAGGCTCTAGGCTCACAGCCTTCAGTAGTTGTGGCACTCGGGCTCCGTAGAGTTGTGGCTCGTGGGCTCTAGAGCGCAGGCTCAGTAGTTGTGGCACACGGGCTTAGTTGCTCCGCGGCATGTGGGATTGTCCCGGACCAGGGCTCAAACCGGTGTCTCCTGCATCGGAAGGTGGATTCTTAACCACTGCACCACCAGGGAAGTCCCCAGATACACTTTTAAGGAGTGGAATCAGAGGATGGGAGGGTCTTTTTTTTTTTGGCCATGCGGCATGTGGGATCTTAGTTCCTGGACCAGGGATCATACCCGTGCCCCTTGCGGTGGAATCGTGGATTCTTAACCACTGGACCGCCAGGGAATTCCCCATGGGAGGGTCTTTTTCGAGACTCTTGAACTACAAGGTTAAAATTGCCTTACAGAAGAGTTGGACCAGTTTACACTCTCCTGCACTGTGTGGCATATTCAAGCTGGCCTGGGACAGTTTTTTGCTCTCTTAGGAGCAAAATGTAGAGGAAAAGCACGTGCTCTGTCATCGTGAGCAGTCCCACCCTCTGGAGAGCTGCCCCGCAAATTACGTCAGACCCCTACTTTCACTGTGCACGTGATCTCCTGCAGGATATTGCAAAACTTGGCAACAATCTTAGGGCAACAGTTGAGTAATGGTGGTGTGTACATTGTGTAGAATATTATGTAGCCATCCAAAATGGTAATCGTGAAACCCCAAAAATAGGAAGATAGGAAGCAAGCAAAACAAAGCTGCTCACATATTAGAATGGCAACTCATGCAAAAATGTATACTCTGTCCCTAAACTCCAAACACCCTCTCCTTTCCAGGGCTTTGCTAATCCCTCTGCTGGGAATGCTTTTCTGCCCACATCCGTGCATGGCCGGCTTCGTTTTCATCTTTTAGCTCTTTGCTTATGGGGTGTTTTCCAACACCAACAACTAATTCTCTGATTATCTGGACACCAACTAGGTGTTGTGTAATTCAGTTCAATTCTGACACTGATTTCCGGAGATAGCCTCTGACCCCACAGGTTAAGGGCCCAGTCCCACAAAACTGCCCCCACTTCAGATGCCCAGGCTACCTACCTTTCTGCCCAGCCAACTACACATTTGCGGGGTCCCTATGCCCCCCCCCCCCC